ATATATATATATATATTTGAATACATAAATTATTAATCAGATTTGACAACACCCGCAGTTATTATTAATGCTAACATAAACTATCTACGCTAGTTAAATTTTAACAACTGGTATTTTAAAATCGGATTTAACTAATATTTCTATTCTCAATGGTTCTCTGACTCTGAAAGGTCAAGTACCGTCTCCAAGTATCATAAACTAGCGATTATACAGCATTTTATGTCAGCAATTAATAACTACGAATGGTATTATAATAGTAACATGCAAATATGATATACATTAATTCTACATAATATAGAACTTGCTTTATAGTTATTACTACTATATTTTTTGAATGTAGAGAGACAGTTTTATCTGAGAAAAAAAATTTGTAGAGATCAAAATTATAGGAATTAAGGACGATCTTTCATCGAGGCATATTTGAATTTCATTGCAACAGTGACTTTGATTTTAAAGTTCCGGAGCATGCATTTAAACACGCTTTGACTTTTAAACCGTCGTCATTCACCACCTTGGCACGATTAATAATGTATTACCTTTGTTCGTATTACAATCGTGAGAGCCGAGAGGCGGCGGCGAATCGTTAACTCATATTTAATTAAACCTGTCTGTCACGCAAATCAAGTTCGGTCTTAATGAGCATCATTGTGAGTCAATCGGACGTCATTTTTGAACACAATTTAGGAAAAATTTCAGATTTATCGTTGACCGTACTACGAAAAGTGGTTGACTTATAGCTTATCTAATCGATGAAGGACGACCGTGATCAAAAAGCAGCGACACCGATTGAACGTTACTCCGTGTTTTATATCGTCACGCGCGAGAGAATTTCTCTCATTGGACATACAGACTTTCAACGTATTGCAATTTATTGATGAAACATCGTCAATAATGTAAAATTATTATTTAAAAAATCGAATATATTACTTCTCAAAGGATAATCCAAAGTAGCTTTGCGACAGCCGATCCAAGCAAATTTTTCGGAGCAAATCTTTCATAGCTGGAGTCATCGTTACCGTTATTTTGGTCTCGAAGTTAATCATCGTATAAACATCAATTAGCGTCAACTATATACTAATCACTGTGCCGCGTGAGTCATCCATTATCGATCGCGGAATCCGTATTTTAAAGTGAAGTCTCCTCGTCGTCCTCGGACAGAGAATCGGTTGAGTCAAAGCAGGAACGAGATAATCGGAAGACTCTGACTGGACTCAGCAGGTCGAGGATGATGATATACCAAGAGTCGCAGGAAAGGAACGAGTCGTATTCTAAGGTGAAGTCTCCTCATCGTCCTCAAACGGACTCAGGTGAAGTTAAGCGGGAGCAGGATGATTGGGAAACCTTGATTGAACTCGGCATCTTGTCAAGAACGATGATACACCAGGAGTCGCAAGAAAGCAGCTGTCGCGTGACTCGGATCGTATCAGTTGTATGGTTGTCGTGAGTCGCTGATCGAGAGGCGTCGAAAAGCGCGCTAGAGAGTCCAGTTTGTATGTGTTCGAAGAGAAGGAAGAGAGAGAGAAAGAGAGAGAGAGAGAGAGAGAGAGAGAGAGAGAGAGAGAGAAGGAGAGGGACTCACCTGCCTGGACCGTGACGAGGGTGCCCACCGCTAAATATAGCATCCCCAGCAGCACAAAAGCGGCTCGCCTCTCCATCCCGGTGGCGCTGTTGCCGACTTACGCGGTGGCGCGTGACCGTGTGCACCGTGCACGGCAATACGATAACCAACGACGAGCACGATGCCCCACCTCGTCGTCGTCGTCGTCGTCGCGGAGCGAGAGAGGAACCTATGCGGCACCTGGACGAGCGATGCCTGTTGCTGCGTTGATGAGCCGTCGTACACGGGTATAGCGTGTCGTCGTCGTCGTCGTCGTCGTCGTCGTCGTCGTTATCCCCGTCGTCCTTGTCCTTATCGTCGTCGTTACTACCGCGACTTCTCGTGGCCGTTACCTCGTCGATATTCTCGGATGGTCCGTCAAAACCGCGAATTCTCTTTCTGCACTGATTGTGCGCAACAGACGATTGGATAGTTCGCGCGAAAGCGCCCGTCACACCGCTGCTGCTGCTACTGCTGCTGCTGTTGCTCCACCTCCTCCTCTTCTTCCTCTTCTTCTTCTTCTTCCTCTTCCTTCTCCTCCACCTCCTCCTCCTTCTCCTCCTCCTCTTCTTCTTCTTCCTCTTCCTCCTCTTCCTCCTCCTCCTCCTCTTCCTCCTCCTTCTCCTCCTCCTCCTCCTCCTCCTCCTCCTCCTCCTCCTCCTCCTCCTCCTCCTCCTCCTCCTCCTCCTCCTCCGCCAACAATGTCGCCCCTGCCGTTGCCGTCACGATCTATCACTGACGTTTGATCGTCCGTCTTATCGTTATCTCTGCACTCTTATCTTAATGCGCACTACACAGTGACCGTCCAGGTGTCGTCGCCGCCGTCGTCGTCGCCGTGGTCGTCGCTCCGTTGTCGTCGTCGCTCTCTCCACCACTGCCTCCTCCTTCTTCTTCCTCTATTTCTCCTTCTTTACGTTACCGATTCACTTTTGGAAGTAATAGAGGGGGAAAGAGAGAGAGGCACACAGATCACTACACAGATAAGCACAGTGCGAGCCACAACAGCTATGCTGACTGCAGCAACGTCAGAAGAAAAATGGCGATCATTGTCTTCTGCTCGGGGTCTCTTCCTCCTCCTCCGCCACGCAAATGTCCGTCTCGTTCTGTCACGCGCCAATCGACTTTCCCTCCACTTCGCCATTTCCTCTTTTTTCCGATAAAGCTGCAACCACAATAGCAGAAATAAGGAATTAAAAATAAGAAATAAAGATTTCAACCTACCAGATATTGGATACACCGGAATATACGATTTCTAATAGGTTGGAATTATTATTTCTAATTCTCCTTCTATTGTAACTGCCCCTTAACTGGGCGAATTCTACGGTTGTGCTCTCTGCAGCGACTCGCGGTCCTTTTAAGCTTACTTCATATAGTCTTTAAAATTCACAAAAAATTCGATTTTACTTGACATTACATCTGTTTCTGCCAATGGCTGCGTTTAGCAGAAAAAGCTTTACAAGTGTTGTAAGGGATTCCGCACAAAAAAAGGGAATAGGGAACAGAGAATAGAGAATAAGAATTTTGACCTATCAGAAACTGTGTATTCCACAATACATGATTTCTGACAGGTTGAAATTCTTATATTCGTATTCATAGTTCAGGCCTTATATTTAAAATATTTAAAAATTAAAGCTTCCTTAAATTTATCTTTAGATACTCTACGAATTATTTCATTGGCTACTGAGCATTTAAAGATAAATTTAAGGAAGCATTAAGTACAAAATATGACTATGAATATGAGCATTATTTTCTGTTTCCTGTTCCTTTTTTGTTCCTTTTTTGTTGTGCGGAATCCCTAAAACTCTTTGATGTGATTGGTCTTGCTCTTCATAATCGACTTGTTCGGTTTTCTAAATTCAGTTTCTAGAATTATTGACTAGATGACGCTAAAATTGGAGGTGTAAAAATTATTTCACATTTAAGTCCCTCAATTTAAATTCCCTAGTTCAAGTTTACATTCCTTGATAAAACGAACGAGATCTGTGACATCTGTGTTTGACAACTTGGTGCATTATGTTTTGGATTAAAGATTACGTACATCGATAATCGCTGTCACGTAAAACCGTGCACGATTGCAACAAAGATCTGCAAAATTTCCATTTCCTTTTACTAATGAGAAGAACACAATGTTGAAATATATTTTTCCTGTTGCGATAGTCATTCTCGCCTGCTTGTCACAGCAATCTGAGGTTAGAATACTTTTTCACAGTTGAATTAAATCCAGTTCTTTGGTATCTTTAACAACTGTGAATGATTCTAGGCGCAATATGATGACAAGAGGTGCAAGTGCATCTGTCCGAGCCTTTCTTCCGTCGTAAATACAACGCAGTCGACCGAACGTCTCACATACATTATAAATGTACCACCATTACAGTGGTAATTATTGGTTTAACAAGAGATTAATGCACGACTAATGACTATTCATAGTCAAGCCTTATATTTAAGGCTTCCTTAAATTTATCTTTAGATGCTCTATGAATTATTTCATTGGTTGCTGAACAGCTGAAGATAAATTTAAGGAAGTCTTAAGTATAAGGTCTGACTTTGAATATCATAAGAGCATAAGACTTTGGTCAAAGTCTTGTTACAAATGCTTTGAAGCATTTGATGGACCAATTAGAAGAAAGAATTTTATAAACTAATCAATTAAAAAACGCTTCAAAATGTTTGCAGCATCATGTTGACCTAAATCATTTCATCTACAATATTCTTTACTTCCTATTTCTTAGTTTTTACTTCGTGCTTTTTTCTTTGCAACCATTTTATTGATAATATGTGTTTCTTTTCACATGTTTCTCGTCTTTTTGAAATTTGTTGATTTTTATCTTGGACAACAGGAAACAAAAAACTGAATAAAAGACAAAAAGGCAAGAAATAAAAATAGGAAACAGGAAACGAAAAGCATAATGTAGATAATTAACAATGTAACTTAATCTACATTGATTAAGCTTACTGTGCTTTCCAGCAAGAGATAGTAATCATTTCATTTTTGTTTAACAGTGGCATACAAGAATGAAATAATACTCTGTGTTACATTGTGGATTCTATTTGGTGGCATAAGTCGACACAAGTGTCATTCTATCATTGTTATTCACTGAATGTCAAGAAAGGTAGAATGATGCTTGTGTCGATTTGTATTTCTAAATGAAAACATCCTGTTATCTGTGTTCCTTGCTGGAAAACAAATCTAGTATTTTGTATAAATTGATAAGAGCCCTATCCAACTGAGAGTTTTCCAACTCGAAGTCACAATTAAACAGTGTTAAAAAAGGAGGAACACTATGTAAAGTTATTTGTTTAAACAGAGCTGTCAAATTTTTACAGTACACTGAAATTTTGTTTTTTAAATATTTGACACAAGAGTTTCAACTCAGCTTTTTGGCTGTATTTATTTATATTGTTTCATTGTTAAAAAGCAGTATATTGAACATTATATCATTTTATATTTCTTGTGTCCTTTGCTGGGAAGCTTCCATAATTTACTTCCTAATTTTCATCAATATAATATAATCATAATACATACCTAATTTGTAGCAAGTGTGAAAGTGTTGTTCTGCCTAAACTTGGTGAGCAAATAAAAGGCAAGGAGGAGGTATTTTGCTCACGATGCGACTGCAAATATGAAAACAGGAACACGACTATTATTAAGGTATTTATTTTTTCATTCACATCAAACTTCATATCACCAATTTATAGATCATGTAATGTAACAGAAGAATTTATGTTGCAGATCGTGGTGATAATAGTTATATGGGTTATCTCATTGTTAGTAATTTATATGTTATTCCTAATTTGTCTGGATCCACTGCTTAACAAACGGATACACAAGGCGTCAACAACTATTGGTTATCATGAACATAATAATGAAGAGGTAAATATATCATCAATTTTATTTTTCTCTCCAATAATGATAGTACTCGCATTACATTGGATTAGTTCACATTAAAAAAGCTGCTTTATATAAAGTATTTAAATACAATAACATAATATAATCAACTATGAAATAATGAAATAATACATGTATATTCTATCAAACAATATGACACAGATTATTAGATATTTTATCGTTCAAAATATTTATGATTTTACATTTAACTTTGCTAATTTCATATTATAGCAACTCTTAGTATACTAATACTCTATAATGCAAGTGTTGTAATCCAAATTTTCTGCATTCGAATATGTAAAATAAATGTAACGTTTAATAACTAAACACTGATCATACATAATTATCTGTATGATACATGTTTTCTTTTTTTATTTTACAAAGGATGATTCATCTCTCGCACCTGGTACGTCTCACCCAATGGGAGAAAGGGGCAATGTTTTGAATCGTGTTGGACACCAGCAGGACAAGTGGAAACGACAAGTTCGAGAACAGAGGCGGAATATTTACGATCGTCATACTATGCTGAATTAAGTCAAAGTTTCCTAAATATGTAAAATACCCAGAATACTTCTAAATGTGACGATAATTTATTCGATCCTTTCGAAGTAAACCTCCTGCGAATAGTTTGTAAAAATATAATATGTTACAATAATAAAGTAACATTAAGTATTAGCGATTATTCTTGACGATCATTTTTTTCATAAAATTCTATCCAGACTATCATGATTAATATAAATGAAACTATATATATATATATTCAGAGATTTTATAATTTTAAATAATTGTGAATATTTCTGGTTTAATATTTATTCTATATGCAGAAAAACTTAATATATAAATTATATCATTATAAAACTATTGGGTTATCCGGAAAGTTCGTGCCGACTAACCTATATAGTTTAATAAATGTATATTAAAATTTATATTTTCTGCGTTTCAATTTTCCTTCAATATCGGCACGAACTTTCCGGACAATCCAATAGTTCCGATAATTTTTGCACCACGAACTTTCAAAAGAGTTTTTTTTAACTATGAAAGCAAAAAAAAAGTAAATCATCTTTATATTTTTGATAGAATCTTTTTAATCATTATTTATTACTACACTTATATGAAAATCTTCAGATAATTATGTATAAAATTCGAACGTTCCTTAATCGTATATATTTTATAAGACAAGTTTTTATATATTACGATAAGACTTACTAAATTCCTGAAGTTTTCGCAATTACTTTCTCAGCCGATTCTTTAATTGTATCGTATAACGTTAAGACAATAGCACCACCGGTGCCACGAAGAATGTTGGAGAATGTACCTTTGAAGAAAGCTTTGGGACCTTCGATTTTTGTTATTTTTATCCAACAATCAAGTGTATTTTTATACATTACGTCAACCTTTTTTCGCCCTGATTGCATCATCATTCGTCTTCTAACTGTATCGAAAGGATAGGACACGATACCCGCTAACGTTGTTACTATCTACAAAGGATGACACTTACATAATAAAAAAATTATTGCAGAAGAAAGATTTCTTTTTACCTCAGCGATTATAAAATTCATGTATAACGGTGTGCTCTTCGGGTCGGATAGCATACCCTTCGTAGTATCATAAAGTCCGAAGTATGCTGCGCGATATATAAT